AGTTACTAAAATTCTTTATACTTGTTGTGATGAAGAGGGAAGTCATTTCTTTATATATTTCCTTTCTTTTTCTTTGTTATATTCTTACTTTTTCTTTCTTTTCTATTTTTCCTTCATATTATTCTTTTTTTCTGGACTTTCCATTTTCTTTTTATTCTTTTACTTTTTGTAGTCTGTATTAGTTTTAATCTGTATAACTGTAATAAAATTATTATATATAAAAAGAAAGATTGTACTATGTAATTTTAGTGTAGTAGATGTTCTTTATGCTTAATTCTGACGTCCTGTCAAAAGATACTTCAAAGGAATGTTATGCCACAAAAGTTACAATAACATTCTTTGCATCCAAGTCCCAAATATCCTTCTAGTGTTCTTCTGAGAGATTCAGGAACTAGCGTAATTGAGATTTAAGAGTTTCATATCATCCTGAAGAGATTCACTTGATTTTAACTGAAGCTGCTATGTACCATGTCAAATGTTATTAATGTTCATAACAGATGGGGTCTAGCAAGCTTATTCTAGGAGAATGCTTTTCAAACTTGCCAACTTTAAGTGTTTCTCAAACTTGGCATGCTGGCTGGGGAATTCTGGGAGTTGATGTCTGCACACCTTAAGGTTGCCAAGTCTGAAAAACAATGTTCTAAGATAAGTTAATGTGATGGAATATATGTACAAAGAGGAGAGTGATGTGGGAGATCAAGGCTATCAGGAGGGAGGGCTGCATTCCAGCAGGGAAAGGAGACAAAAGACAACACAGTCCACAGGGGGATTGTGGGAAGCAAAAGAGGTTCAGGATAGCCACTCCCTAGACTCTCCCAGGGTATGTCCACTAGTTTCAGTAATATAGATTTAGTCTTGCAAGAGTTTGTCTATAAGGTGTAAGCAAATAAAGGAATGGACTGGACTGTTTCATCATTGTTCTTGGGCTGGGCCTGACAGTTACCTTTATAAAGTTCACACAATAATTTTCTTCCCATCCTTTCTTTTCCATGGTAGCCAACCACCAGAATGGACTGTGACTCTGATGTCTCAGTTTACCTTGACAAAGGTATTGGTTTTCAGTCCAGGTCACTTTAACCAATTTTGCACAGTTCAATAATTATTTGGAGAGTAGGTAGGTAGGTACCTGGAGCGCATATCCCGGTTCACACTGAAAGGAGACCACATCGTTCACCAGATATCTTTCACCAATTTTCAGGCCATTACTGGGGACTGTGGGTTCTGGGCAGCTGGATAGGCCCACAGCTAAAAGGAAGCACAAAGAGGTTAATGGGTATATGTGTGTTTAGCGTGCATACATTTGTGCATGAATCACTAGCTCAAACAGGGTATAGCTAGATACCATGAGTTAAGAAAATTTATCCCAGTTTAAAAATTATGTGCCATCAAGTTGTTTTCAACTCCTAGTGGCCACATAATTAGACTTTCTCCACGATGATCTGTCTCTAACCTGTTCTTTCAAGTCTCCCAATGGTGCAATCATCACCACTATAACTGAGTCCATCCATCTTACTGCTGGTCATCCTCTTCTTCTCTTTCCCTCAACTTTTCCCAGCATTAAAGCCTTTTCCAGAGAGCTGGGTCTTCACATAATGTGTCTGAATTAGGATAATTTGAGCCTGGTCATTTGTGCCTTGAGTGAGAACTTTGGGTTGATTTGTTCAATTTGTTTTCTTGGCCCATTTAAAGATCCAGGTCCTAAGTATCACTTTCTCTTTGCATGATTTCAATACCTTGCCCCAAGCAGGGATAGACTTTAACGCAAGTTAGCATTAATTTGAGGTTGAGGTTTACCTGAGTTGAAGTTTACCTCCCAGCCAAGCCTTCTTGGAGGCCTTTTCCTCAGGCCTGGTTGATGGAAGAGACTATGGGGATTTGAGTCCCTACTTGGCCCTTCAGAGATGCCAAGGACAGATTCAGTTTGCGTACTATGGCCCAGCTCTGAAGCCAAATAGGAGCCTTTCAGCAGCGTTGGGCCAGAGTATAATTCCTTAGTGCAAATATGTGCAGTTGAAAAAGCTGCTGTCAGGCCCAGCCCAAGAACAACAGTGAAACAGTCCAGTTGAGTTCAGTTCCTTTATCTACTTACACCATATAGACAGAATCTTGCTGGACTAAACCTATACTACTATAACTAGTGGATATACCCTGAGAGATTCTAGGGATGGCTATCCTGAGATTCTTATGCTTCCCACACTCCACTTCTGGACTGTGTTGTCTTTTGTCTTCCTGCCCTTCCTGGAATGCTCCCCCTTATTCCTGATAGCCTTGCTCTCTGCCGCAATCCATCACATCACCCTCCTCTTCGTAGATACATTCCACCACAGCTACACCTGTTTACTCCTCCCTCCCCCTTTTCTGTTGTTTCTCTTATACTGCATATCAGAACACAGAATCCTCAGATTAGTAGGGACCTTGGTGGTCTCTAGTCCAGCCTTTCCCCAGGGTAGGAATCCTCAGACTATCCCAGAAAAGGCTGTCCAAACTCGGCTTGAAAATGTCCAGTGGACTCTAGGAGGCAGGCTGTTCCATTGTTTAATGCTCTCATGGTCAAGAAATTCCTCCTTATTCTGAGTTTGGATCTCTTTTTGTAAAGTTTCCACCTCTTGGTTCTTGTCTTACCCTCAGATAAACCCACACTGTCTTCCCTGTTGCAGTGTTTCAAGTACAGGGAGTCCCCAGTTTAAGAACCAGATCTGTTCCCAAAGTCTGTCCTTAAGTCGAATTTGTAAGTAAGCCGGAACAGATTATTATATAATGCTGTACAAGTAGCATTGTGTAATGAACTTGAACCGTTGTGTATTTAACTTGAATCATTGTTAGATTAAAAACTATTTTTTATTATGTAAGCTCTTAGATATTAGAATAAGAGGCAAATATATTTTATATTTATACCTGTACCAAGGAAAGTCGGAAGCTACTCTTTCTTTTCTATGTCCTTTTTTTCTTTTTTCCCATTTTTTTTCCTTTTCTTGATTTCTGTATTTTAATTCTTTTTGAAAATATAATAAAAAATTTAACAACAACAAAAAATTCAAATCATTGTGGATTTAACTCCAATTTTGCTACAATAGGCTCCATTCTTAACTATGGATCATCCGTAAACCGGGTGTTTTTAACCTGGGGTCTACCTGTACTGGAAGACTGCTATCACCCCTTCCCTCCACCTTCTCTTCTTTAGGCTAAACATACCCAATTCCATTCACATTCTTCATAAGTTGCAAGCCCTTCTCCATCTAAGTTGCTTTTCTCCGAACTCTTTCCAGTTCCTCAGTATTTTTCTTGCACTGGGATGACCAGAAATGGACATTGTATTCCAGGTGTGGTCTGACCAGTGCAGCATAGAGCTATCACTTCCTGTGATCCCAACATTTTACCTCTGTTGATGCAGCCCAAGGTGGCATTGGCTCTTCTGGTATTTGCAGCATACTAAATCTGCTTAATTTGTATCCTACCAGACACCCTGATCTTTGTCCTCAGTATTGCTACCCTACATTTCTAGCCCCAACCTGCATTTTGTTGTATGAGGCCCAGTGGTCAAGTTTATTACAACCCTTTTGAACCTTGAGCCTCTGAACCTTTTGGAGCAAGGAGTTGAAAGATGGTACTAAATGAATGAATGTGTGTGGGGGTATAAGGATTTCTCATTAAATAGGTTTTCTGACTTTTTTTTAGCACTCAAAAATCTAATGGAGATGAATTAAGGCAGGAGAAATGAATGAATATTGCTTGACTTCCTGAAAACAGCCTCCAGAAGGAGAAGAAAAAGAAAGCCTTAATAGGCACTCTGATGATATGTCAAGCAAGCCCCAAAGTCTAAAGCAAAAAGATATATTTAATCTCTCTTTATAAACTTAATCTTTTCTTTTTCTGCTCCTGGAAATGGTCAGTTGAGCAGCTAGTCCCTCTATTATCCCTGCACTTGTGTATAGGAGCTGAACTCTGAAAGTTGATTACTTCCTCAGCAGTTTGCCCTGGAGAATTCTTAACAGCTTGGAATCAAAAAGGATTATTTTTATGAAATGTCAGCCATGCAGGTGCCTTTAGCAGCATGAAATCTGTCTTGACATGGGGAATGTATAAAGCTGCTACATTGAGTTAGACTGTTGATCTACCTAGCCCACGAAGGAAGCAACCTTGAATGGTGTAAAGCCAAAATCTCTTCCACTCTGTCTAGTGGACACCTTGCTGAATGTATTGGAGACTAGTCGGGAGATTTTGTGTATAGAAAGATAAGGGTAGAAGTCAAGACAACGTTACACTTTTGCAGGACACAAGGATGGGGACGGTTCTGCAATCATATTATTTTTTCAGAGTTGCAAGTTTTCATGATTTTTATCATACAAACCATTCTGAAGATTCTGTGTTTTCCATCAGGCTGTGATTTTTCTTAATCAAGTGTAGGTCTGTCTTTCTTTCTTTCTTTCTTTCTTTCTTTCTTTCTTTCTTTCTTTCTTTCTTTCTTTCTTTCTTTCTTTCTTTCTTTCAATTTCTCCCTGCCCATCTCCCCCCAATGGATTTGTTCATGCTCCCCCCAAATTGCATTTGTTCATGCTGAAGTTAATCTTGATGGCTTCTGCCCAGCTTGTCAAAGTCCTCCTGAATCTAGATACTGTTCTCTGTGGTGTTGGCTATCACTGCATCTTTCTGTGGTCTGCAAATTTGATAATCTTATTTTCTAACCCCTCATCCAAGACATACATTGAGTTGCACAGGCTCTGGAAGGGTATCAGGCTTGACACTTCCCACCAGTTTGATGGGGAGCCAATGATTATTCACAATGATTATAGCTTCTGGCTACAAATGAAATTTTTGAAGTGCTTGGTTCAGTAAATATTTTTTACTGAACCATACATTTTAATGTATGTTTGCATTTTAATTATTTATGGATTTTAGCCACTGTTGGAGGGATTGGTGTGTTTTTTTCTTTTTTGTTATTGTGAGCCACCCAGAGTCACCCGTTGGGGAGATGGGCGGCATACAAGTTAATAAACAAACAAACAAACAAATAAATAAATATCACATGGATTCTTTTCCATCTATCCTGAAT